CTGCTGATTTTGAGCTTTTAGGGAAAATCCAGCAACACTGTATTTGTAGAGGCATTTCAGATTCAACCTGAAATGCACAATAAAACCACGAGTTTCTGTGCTGGAATACCAGTAACAATCATTTGCGATGTCTCAATTTCTGTAGGACAGCAAGGACTTTAGTCCCTTATGCTCTCCTCCAGTTCTTATTCTGCCTGACTTTTTGCAAATTCAAGTTGCTGCTCTTCACCTTGCACTTTTGGGGCATTCCCTAAGATTTTGCCACATGGGTTTCAGTAATTTGGGCCAGCGGCTCCAGAAAAAAATCCCATTCAAAACTCATTTTATGGGCTTTTCTTTACAGTTTCAGCCAGCAGGAAAAATCTGCAGAAAAGATAGGAGTGTGTGTGATCTCCCCGAGTACTGCAACGGCTCTTCAGGGACCTGCCCCATGGATGTATTTAAGCAAGACGGAACCCCATGCGGTGACGACGACCGCTGCTACGACGGGCACTGCCACAGCCACGAGGCACAATGCAAAGCTTTATTTGGCAGAGGCAAGATATCTCACCCCAGAAGCTACCAGATGATCTCATATGGAATTAGCCCTCACCTTCAGATAACACTTCATCTCCTGTCTCCTCCCCTTTCCCGCCCTCTGCTTTAAAAAAGTTCGGGTTTTCCACAGTTACTGAAGATTCACTGTTTACTCTTTATAAGGCAGGCGGGCTTGGATAGCTGGGCCAGTTACTTAAGAATTTAAGCACTTGTATAAAAAATACCACAGAACGCTTTTAAAATACCCCATGATTTTATAACAATAGCTATATAACTACATGTAACGATGCGTATATAAAAAATAGGATTGGACTTGATGATCTTAAGGGTCTTTTCCAACCTAAATGATTCCATGATTCTACGATTCTATGTATTTATAATAGTTAGGGTAACAGAAAAGGGGTTTTCTTGGGCAGTAGCTGTTGCAGTGCTGTTTAGGAACATCCCATGCCCAGTGCGCAACAGGAACGGCAGACGTGGCCACCCTCATCCATTTGCCGGTAGAGGGTCCCAGAAACAAAGATGTGCTGGAGACAGCCACTGAGATCACTTTTATGCCTCTGAAAGCAACCACACCCAATAATTGGTTCATTTATATTTCCCCCAGTTCAAACTTGAAGCGTGCATGTGAATTTTTTTTGAATACGTGCCCACATCCTCTTTCAGATTATTTCAGTTCTGTAGGAAGTAGCCAAACTTCCCCAGTGCATGTGTCCTGAAGCTGCGGCACAGCAGATCTGTTTTGCGCTCCCTCGTTAATGATAGCAGTGATGCCCATCATGACCTTAGTCCTAGGTATCTTTATGAACATATGAAAGTCTTCTCTAAGTAAAACCACAGTTCCTCTGTGATCTACCACATTCATGAGAAGTTTGGAGTCTCGGGGAACCCCTGCACATGAAGACAGCAGCATTTCTCATCAAAGGCGTTGCTAGGAAGGCAAGGATATTGATAAGGCAGAATATTTTGATAAGGCAGCATATTTTTGTCATCATTTTGACATGGGACAATGAAGTAACTGTCACACGAACATCTACATGGTGCTCATGTGGCCAACAGTGATCTCAGCCACCTCTGCAGGACCGCTGGGAAGCCTGGCAGTTGGTTTTACTTTGTGAACATTTTGGATGCTTGAAAACTTGTAAAAACACCTGATGGGAGTCCTGCATTGACCACAGGCTCTCCATCTTTTCCCTCAGTGCTCTGTTACTCTTACACAACACTTGGTGAATATAAAGACGTTCTGAAAAAACTGGGAGTCCCCTGGGTTAGAAATGGTTCTGCCGTACTGAAATCCAGATCTGTAAGCAGTTTCTGACATCTAACAGGAATTAGCGTTGCTAATACTGAAAATAATGGTGGTGATTCTGGTTTCAGGGTAAAGGTAAGACCTGTGTCACACACAGCAAGTTAGAATTAAATAAAAAAATAGGTTTGGGAAAGATTTTAGACTATTAATCCAATTTTATGCTCTATGTTGTTCTGTATAAATGACCATGGTCTACTCTGATCATTGGTTGATCTCTTGGTGGCAAATCCATTCATCTAGCCACTTCATTCTCACACTGATTATTCTGGTCCAAATGAGGACCAGAAACAAAAGAAGAGGTGAAAAAAAAAAAATTGCCCATAAAACAGGGCAGGTCAAATGCAAGCTGTGGTTGACTAGAACTTCATTTCAGAAAAAAAATCACAAAAATCATCTGGAGGGATTACGGAGGGCGCGTATAGCCCCTGCCTCTCCGTGAACACCTACCTTTGCTCTCTCGCCCTGCAGCCGCCCATCGTGCCCCGCTGAGCTGCTTCAGGGAAGTGAACGTTCGAGGCGACCGGTGTGGGAACTGTGGCTGGAATGGGACGTACTACACAAAATGCCTGGAAGAGTAAGTGATGGTGACTGGTGATTACCGATGTCCCAGTCCTGCCAGTAGCCAGGTATAATCACAGAATCACGGAATGCTTTGGGTTGGAAGGGACCTT